TCTCGTGTTGCCTCAAGAAGGTCCTCCCTTGTGCATGTGGCTGGGCTCAGGTTGCATTGCAGCAGGTGGTCAGTGGTTTGCTCTTCTCCGCACTCGCATGTCGAGGATTCCACTTTGTAGCCCCATTTCTTAAGATTGGCTCTGCATCTCGTGGTGCTAGAGCGCAGTCTGTTCAGCACCTTCCAAGTTGCCCTGTCTTCTGTGTGCCTATGGGGGAGTCTCTGATTTGGTATCAGCCATTGGTTGAGGATCTGGGTTTGAGCCTGCCACTTTTGGACTCTCGCTTGCTGAGGTGTTCCAGCGAGTGCCTCTGTAGATCTTAGAAAACTATTTCTAGATTTAAGTCGTTGACGTGCTGGCTGATACCCAAACAGAGGATGAGCTGGAGATGTCACTGCCTTGGTTCTTTCACTATTGGCTGCTCCTTCCCGGCGGATGTCCGGTGGTGTGATACCGGCTAAACTGTAATTTCTGCAGTGGTGTAGGGCGCAGGCACCCCATGATAATGCTGCATGTCTCATTCAGAGCCACATCCACTGTTTTAGCGTGGTGAGATGTGTTCCACACTGGGCATGCGTACTCAGCAGCAGAGTAGCATAGTGCAAGGGCAGATGTCTTCACTGTGTCTGGTTGTGATCCCCAGGTTGTGCCAGTCAGCTTTCGTATGATATTGTTTCTAGCACCCACATTTGGCTTGATGTTCAGGCAGTGCTTCTTGTAGGTCAGAGCACGGTCCAGAGTGACTCCCAGGTATTTGGAAGAATACATAGAAATGGGAAATACATAGACCAGCATTGAAATTGGAAAGGTAGTGATTGTCAATGTTATTGTGTGCTTTCAAATCATTTCTAATTGATGGTCACAGGGTTTTTGGGGACGGAGAGTGTGCAACTCGCCCGATGGGTTCCAATGGCCGAGCGAGGTATTGAGTGCTGGTCTCCAGAGCTGTAAACCAATGTTCCAAGCACTGCGCCAGGCTGACTCTCAAAGGCAATGATCCTGGCACATTAAATGCTGCAATGGACATACTGGGAAAGATTGATTACAAAACAGTAATATAAGTCCTGGAAATGGTTGCCTTCCAGGGACCAAAAGGTGCCCTTTATGAGACACCGCAGAATTGTTGCCCTCCATTAACAGACTGCTTTAGGTTTGCCAGCAACTCCAGGATGTGTTTTTACAGCAGCAAATCTGTTTTGCTTACAGTTTTGAGTTTATTGGTTCTCCCAGAAGACACAGTTTAGGTTTATTACGGCTCGAAATTGTTGCTGATTTTGTTTATTCTGCACTGACTTGCTTTATCTCATTACCTTCTGAGGCCACGTTCCTTCGATCTTTATTTTTCTGTCACATTTGAAACACGGCTGTTGGTATGGCTTTTGTTTTGGGTGCATTGCATATACTCATGGAAAAGTCTGTACATTTCAGTCAAAATATTGACTCCAAAACACTAGATCGATTGGGTTGTTGTAGGTTTTTCCGGGCTATATGGCCAAGTTCTGGAGGCAATTTTTCTCCTGACGTTTCGCCTGCATCTATGGCAAGCATCCTCAGAGGTAGTGAGGTCCTCACTACCTCTGAGAATGCTTGCCATAGATGCAGGAGAAATGTCAGGAGAAAAATTGCCTCCAGAACATGGCCATATAGCCCGGAAAAACCTACAACAACCCAGTGATTCCGGCCATGAAAGCCTTCGACAATACTAGATCGACTGTAGCTCAGCAAGCAGCAGAGGATTTTTCTGATGTTTCAGAAGATGAGGGATTGATGAGTTTCAAATTGAGAAATCTGGAGAGTGATTAGAGAGAATAGCAGGCAGATGAGGCCGATGTTTGGGATTCTGAGCTCGTTCACAGACAACAGGAAGGGAATGGTCCATCTATCAGACAGATAGCAAGCTGTTTAACCCCAGCAGTCTGAAAGCCAAAACCAAGGTCACAACAACATCTGTTATAGAACTCCAGTATGCTGATGACAACGTCGTCTGTGCGCATTCAGAAGAAGATCTACAAGCCACTCTAAACACCTTCGCAGAAGCATATGAGAAGCTCGGCCTGTCATTGAACATCGAGAAAACCAAAGTGCTCTTCCATCAGTCACCAGCCAACTCCTCTCCAATGCCGGCAATACAGCTTAATGGTGTAACATTAGAAAACGTTGACCATTTCCACTACCTTGGCAGCCCCCTCTCCACCAAAGTCAACATCAACACTGAAATACAACACCGCTTGAACTCTGCGAGTGCAACATTTTTCTGAATGAAGCAGAGAGTGTTTGAGGACCGGGACATCCATAGAGATACCTATCAGAGTGATGCCCCTGGGTCATGCACAGAGTACTTGAGGTTACTCAATCACACAGACTCACATAGCACACTGCAGTCTTCTTAAGTTTCAAAAATAATAAAGTTTACTGAAAGCATTTCAAGACCCGACTACATCTCGGCGGCTGAAAATGGCGACTCACAAAGTACAGCACTAAACACACAGACAAAGAAACATCTACCCTCCTACCTTATCTGTCTTCTAGCTGGTAAACTCCCTTTTCTTCTCAGGCCAAAGGAATTCCTGTTATCTCGTTTCAAGGATTCTACTCTCTCTGCCTCTAGTGACTACAATTCTAGCACACAGCTGAACATAACTGAATCCATTATTAACACACTGAAAAACATACATATAATTCTTCCAATTATCCTGACTGTTGCATCCCAGTTCAAGAAACAAGACCATAAGATTAAATCCACCACTCTGGACTGTAGGAAAAACAATCCTTGTTTATTGATGAAAAATTGGATACAAAAGAAAGGTAAATCCGAACGCATCTCCACCTATGAACCGGCGAGGACCTTAAGATCGTCCGGGGAGGCCCTGCTCTCGGTCCCGCCGGCGTCACAAGCGCGGTTGGCGGGGACGAGAGACAGGGCCTTCTCGGTGGTGGCCCCTCGGCTATGGAATGCCCTACCAGTGGACATCAGGCAGGCCCCTTCGTTACTGGTGTTTCGGAGGAGGGTGAAGACGTGGCTCTATGAACAGGCATTTGGATAACTATGCAATGACAACTAACTCAGTAAGACGGCATTTGAACAAGGAACGGAAAAGGACTGTGAGAACGGGATCTGATTCTAATTGAGGCGTTGATGACTATGTGTGTTGTTTGTGTATGTGCGTCTTATATATTGTTTAGTGTTGCCCATTTTTATTGTAAACCACATTGAGTCGCCGTCTCAGGCTGATAAATGCGGTATACAAATGGAGTAAATAAATAAATAATAAATAAATAATAAATAAATGCAGAGTAAAAAAGCCATAGAAAAACACAGTAGTCAATAGGATCTCTGAACTTGAGTAAAACTTCAAAAGCCACAAAACAATAACCAGGAGTCTGTTAGCCTTTTACTAACCATGAACTTGGAAACTAGAAGCCTCTGGGATTACTGGCCATGGAACACAGGAATTCTGCCAAGACCAGCCACAGTCCCGAACGTTGCTTGACCTAAAGAAGCACCCGGCAGGGATGCTCTTAAACCAAAGAAGCTATTCTTAGAAACGCCCCTTGACTTTTCTGTCTGGGCCTCTTTCTGCTGAAGGCGCTGTGACCTTCGTACAGACTGGGAAACAAATCTATCTCTGACTATCTGTTCTCTTCGGACCTCATTATCAAGCCCAGGTGGGGAGATATCACGGCTAACTTCCAAAACATTCTCTTCTAACTGTTGGGTTTCATTTTCATTCCCACTGACCTCTGCATCAACAACAGATTCCACACTGTCAGAGTCAGGGAGAGCTTGCTCAGTTGGAAAAACTATCAGAGAATCCTGTTCACACAGATCAGGATCAGGCTGAACCCCAATCATAGAATCATAGAATCAAAGAGTTGGAAGAGACCTCATGGGCCATCCAGTCCAACCCCCTGCCAAGAAGCAGGAATATTGCATTCAAATCACCCCTGACAAATGGCCATCCAGCCTCTGCTTAAAAACTTCCAAAGAAGGAGCCTCCACCACACTCCGGGGCAGAGAGTTCCACTGCTGAACGGCTCTCACAGTCAGGAAGTTCTTCCTCATGTTCAGATGGAATCTCCTCTCTTGTAGTTTGAAGCCATTGTTCCATTGCGTCCTAGTCTCCAGAGAAGCAGAAAACAAGCTTGCTCCCTCCTCCTCCCTGTGGCTTCCTCTCACATATTTATACATGGCTATCATATCTCCTCTCAGCCTTCTCTTCTTCAGGCTAAACATGCCCAGCTCCTTAAGCCGCTCCTCATAGGGCTTGTTCTCCAGACCTTGATCATTTTAGTCGCCCTCCTCTGGACACATTCCAGCTTGTCAATATCTCTCTTGAATTGTGGTGCCCAGAATTGGACACAATATTCCAGATGTGGTCTAACCAAAGCAGAATAGAGGGGTAGCATTACTTCCTTAGATCTAGACACTATGCTCCTATTGATGCAGGCCAAAATCCCATTGGCTTTTTTTGCCGCCACATCACATTGTTGGCTCATGTTTAACTTGTTGTCCACGAGGACTCCAAGATCTTTTTCACACGTACTACTCTTGAGCCAGGCGTCACCCATTCTGTATCTTTGCATTTCATTTTTTCTGCCAAAGTGGAGTATCTTGCATTTGTCACTGTTGAACTTCATTTTGTTAGTTTTGGCCCATCTCTCTAATCTGTCAAGATCGTTTTGAATTCTGCTCCTGTCCTCTGGACTATTGGCTATCCTAGGAATACCAAGGTGCTTGTCTATAAAGCTATTGTCCTCCCAACCCTGCTCTATGCCTGCGAAACATGGACTGTCTACAGGTGTCACACGCAACTCCTGGAATGATTCCATCAGCGCTGCCTCCGGAAAATCCTGCAAATCTCTTAGGAAGACAGGCGGACAAACGTCAGAAGAACATGCGAATCAAGAATAGGTCTCTACAGCCACCTACGGACCCATTGCCAAGACTCTGCACTTGGAAGGCAATCAGACTCGGAGACGAGGGATCCCCATTGACTCACCTCTTTGGGCAGTTCTCTTGGGAAGAAGAAGTACGGGATGGAAGAGATGGCCACGATGCTGGCTGTAAGAATGAACCCGAGCCACCAGGCCCCGACCCACCGCGGGTCTTTGTTGTTGATGTGGATTTCCGCTGAAAGACAACCAAATGGAAAATGTGAGAAAGGTGCTCTGGTGGGAAAAGGGCATGCTTCCACAGCACCAGTGATCGACCGTTTCACAAGGAAGACAGAACATTGTTCTGTACTGAGATAAGCCATTGATCGCTAGGCTGTGTTGCACTCCGACATGAAAAGCCCTCTGACTTTAAACACCACACATTGAATAGGAAAACAATCCTTTTATTGGAGATAATTAAAAAGCAGCAAAGTGGAAAATAATATTTCAACACTGGAATGTTAGTTCCTGTACAGTAAAATCCATCTTGCTATGCACAGATGGATGGACGGACGGCATCCTTGAAGTAACTGGATTGTCCTTGAAGGAGCTGGGGGTGGTGACGGCCAACAGGGAGCTCTGGCGTGGGCTGGTCCATGAGGTCACGAAGAGTCGGAGACGACTGAACGAATGAACAATGCTCAGAATACCATTTTTTTGGACAAGGCAAATACTTGTGTGAATGACACATTCAGTAGATCTCCAATTGCAGCTTTTTCTGTGCAGGAAAAAAAAGCCAATGGGATTTTGGCCTGCATCAATAGGAGCATAGTGTCTAGATCTAAGGAAGTAATGCTACCCCTCTATTCTGCTTTGGTTAGACCACACCTGGAATATTGTGTCCAATTCTGGGCACCACAATTCAAGAGAGATATTGACAAGCTGGAATGTGTCCAGAGGAGGGCGACTAAAATGATCAAGGGTCTGGAGAACAAGCCCTATGAGGAGAGGCTTAGGGAACTGGGCATGTTTAGCCTGAAGAAGAGAAGGCTGAGAGGAGATATGATAGCCATGTATAAATATGTGAGAGGAAGCCACAGGGAGGAGGGAGCAACTTGTTTTCTGCTTCCTTGGAGACTAGGACGCGGAACAATGGCTTCAAACTACAAGAGAGGAGATTCCATCTGAACATGAGGAAGAACTTCCTGACTGTGAGAGCCGTTCAGCAGTGGAACTCTCTGCTGGAGTGTGGTGGAGGCTCCTTCTTTGGAAGCTTTTAAGCAGAGGCTGGATGGCCATCTGTCAGGGGTGATTTGAATGCAATATTCTTGCTTCTTGGCAGAATGGGGTTGGACTGGATGGCCCATGAGGTCTCTTCCAACTCTTTGATTCTATGATTCTATGACTTTTCTGTGTACATGAATAAGTATTTATTAGGCTTGGTTGATCCAAAAAAAATGGTTCAAAACTCATTTTGGATGTAGTGTTTGGTGGTACGATTCTAAAGTCACTTCTGATTTTTTTTAAAAAATTTTTTTTAAAACTTTTCAAAATTTTTGAAACTTCCAAATCACTTCATTAATGGTAGACATGTATGCGCAGTAGGGGAAAAAACCAATAGCATAAATGAGAGGCATTTTCCAAAAGCAAGCTCACGTCATAGTTATATATGCCGCAAATCATACTAACAAGACAAATATAGGGTCTATTGAGATCAGGGAGATAAGTGTGAATGAATGTTCTTTTTTCTTTCAGGTGTAGACAGGCACTAAGTCAATAGGCAGAGCCTATGCAAGCTGCAGCAAGAAATCAATTAGGCCTTGCAATTGGAAGGAAGTCGATGCTTCAGTCGGCAAGCTGGAGACTTGCACAGAGCCCTTTCCTCTCAGTTGGAGATGAAGCAACTAAAAATGGGAGATTTGAACCCTTGCCACCTGCCTGGAGATGACCCATGAAGGGTGCACCTACACTGTAGAATTAATGCAGTTTGGCGCCATTTTAAATGCCATAGCTTAGTGCAACAGAATCCTGGGAAATTTTGGGATATAAGGTTTGCCTCAAGGGGAAACCTGTTAGATCAGGCGAAATGTGACGGCGCGAGTGGCGCCATCTATGTATAGAACTGTTAGTTGTTAGACTTAAACTGTTGTATCATGTTTAATCCTGCCCCCTTTTTACATTGCTTGTGTACAGTTGTATGGATTGGTTGCTTGTAGCTGTCAATCAGTACTGTTTGGCTCCACCTCTTCCTGCAGGAGGGGAGTGCTTCCTTTTCTTTTCATTCTGCCATAAGAGTTCCTAACATATGGACGTGAGTAAGAGACTTGACTCTAAAAGACCCTGATTTAAGTTACCTCTTAGCAGCAACTCTGAGGTTTTTTACCCTGGGGACTCATGCTTTATGTCCAGATCATCCTGGATAACATTGAGGAGACCCCAGCGCCTTCATACCAGTTCTTTTGACAACAGAGGAAGATCCTGAATCTTCAAACATAGGCCATCTGAACTGGGGTTGTGTTTTGCTCCGGCATTCACAGCCATTGAGGAAAGAGGAAACTTGGTGAGGCTTCTCAGCTTCACATACCTTGGACCCAGGACTAATTGAGACTGTAATGTATGTTTTCCTTCACCCCTCTGAAGTTTTCCAGCTCATTGCTTTAAAGAAATGACTTTGTTATCAATAAAACTTATTTTTGAGCTATTTACAGCGTTTTGGGTTTTTGAGAGTTCCAGTTTCCTAAAGGAGGGCAAGAAGCAATCCCTTGGGGGAAAAGTGCCACGTCCATCCTTCCTTCATTAAGACTAATAGCCCCCAAGCACGACGGCACACGAAATCAAGTTCATGTGTCATGGAAATCCTGTTCAAGGGGTCTGGTTCCTGTGAAGTTTTTTAGCCTTTTGGATTGTCTTTGCATCTTGTTGATTCCTGTCTGGATGAATGCTGTCTTGGATTGCTTATATCTCTGGTGTGCACGTTGCTATGTGTGTCTCCTTTTTTGGACTTATTACTTTTTGGAACTTTCATATTTTCTTACAAGCATTTATTTCTTCTGGCAATTTACTAAGCTTCAATAAAAGAAGACTTGTTTCTTCACTCTTCGTGTGGTGTGTTTTAAAGTCAGAGGGATTTTTCCTGACCTGGAGTGCATCAGTAGAAACAATCCGGTTTGGTACCACTTTAACTGCCATGGATCAATGATATGGAATTGTGGAAGTTGTAGTTTGGTGAAACACTCCAAATTTCCTTGGGAGGGAAGGCAAAAGACCTTGTAAAACTACAGTTCCCATGATTCCATTGCACTGAGCCAGGGAAGATAAAATGATGTCCAACCGCATTCATCCTACAGTGTGGATGCACGCACCTGAGGGCTACAAAGAAATAATGCATACGAAGCAAACAATGCTCTGTGGAGAAACAGCTCTGGGAAATGTCCCCAACTTTGCTTTATGGGACATAAGAGCCATTGAACTTAATGGACTACTTCTGGTTAAATGGATTTAGAGTTGCACTAGTCATCCCAGATTATTCATCTCCTTCCTACCACAACGGACTACCACCTCACCCGCCTCATAGGAAACTACAAAACAGGAGCTTCTTTGTTGAGTTCCAGAGCCAGAGAAGCAGATGGCGGAAACAGAAGAACGGCCTGCCTCAGGGGAGCGTGCTTGCTCCATCCATGTTCAACATCTACACAAATGACCAGCCACTGCCAGAAGGGACAGGGAGCTTCATCTACGCTGATGATCGTGCCATTACTGCTCAGATGGTTGAACAGAAGCTCTCCGAAGCTCTAGGTGTTCTTACTGCCTATTACAGGGAAAACCAGCTGATCCCTAACCCATCTAAAACACAGACATGTGCCTTTCACCTTAAGAACAGGCAAGTATCCCAAGCTCTGAGGATTATTACCTGGGAAGGGATCCCACGGGAGCATTGCAGCGCACCCAAATACCTGGGAGCCACCCTGGACCGTTCTCTGACCTACAAGAAGCACTGCCTGAACATCAAGCAAAAAGTGGGCGCTAGAAACAATATCATATGAAAGCTGATTGGCACAACCTGGGGATCACAACCAGACACAGTGAAGACATCTGCCCTTGCGCTATGCTACTCTGCTGCTGAGTACGCATGCCCAGTGTGGAACACATCTCACCACGCTAAAACAGTGGGTGTGGCTCTTAATGAGACATGCCGCATTATCACGGGGTGTCTGCGCCCTACACCACGGGAGAAATTACACTGCTTAGCCGATATCGCACCACCTGACATCTGCTGGGAAGTAGCAGCCAATAGTGAAAGGACCAAGGCAGAGACATCTCCAGCCCAACCCTTGTTTGGGTATCAGCAACCACGACAATGACTTAAATCAAGAAATAGTTTTCTAAGATCTACAGAGACACTCGCCGGAACACCTCAGCAAGCGAGAGTCCAAAAGTGGCAGGCTCAAACCCAGCACCTCAACCAATGGCTGATACCAAATGAGAGACTCCCCCCTGGGCACACAGAAAACTGGGCAACTTGGAAGGCACTGAACAGACTGCGTTCTGGCACCACGAGATGCAGAGCCAACCTCAAGAAATGGGGCCACAAAGTAGAGTCCACGACATGGGAGTGCGGAGAAGAGTCAACCACTGACCACCTGCTGCAACGCACCCTGAGCCCTGCCACATGCACCATGGAGGACCTTCTTGTGGCAACACCAGAGGCACGCCAAGGGGCCAGATACTACTCAAAGGATATTTAATCAACTACCAAGCTTGCAAACTTTGTGTTTTGTTTGTTTGTTTGTTAAAAAAATGGGTTGTTCCTGACACGATAAATAAATAAATAAATCTCCTCCCTGTCCGAAAAGTACAACTTTGAAACCTTGGCATTTATTTTCAAATAGAATTGAGGTAAAGGTTTCAAAGGCATCCAAGTCTTTGGATATTCCCCCTTTGGCCCATATGTCAGGTCTTAAAGTGATGGAATGGCACACGATAACTGCATTTGTTCCCTACTCAACATGACTGAAAGCCAGAGAATTAAAACGACTTTCCAAAGTGAGTGAGATGGCTTGACGGACGACTGCTTCCGTTTTACTGCAGCTGCAAAGCATATTCAGTATCGTATTTCCCTATTAACTTGCAATACTCCAGCTTGGGAGTGATCCTGGACTCATCGCTGAGCCTGGAACCCCAGGTCTTGGCGGTGGCCAGGAGAGCTTATGCACAATTAAAACTTGTGCACCAGTTGCGCCCGTACCTTGAGAAGTC